GCTGACCGGCGCTGCTTTGGCCCATCAACTCAGACAATCCCTTCGCCAAGCGCGAGGCTCACTCTCAGCAATCCGTCGCCACCTACAAGATCTTGACTACAGTCACCTGGCTGCTGTCCGTCGTCGTCTCCTTCTACTATACCTTCAATAGTCCCGACGATGGCGTCTGGGAGCGACGCGCGATCTGGAACCAGAACGCCCACTTTCGCACGGCCTTCCGCATGAACCATATCATCGCCAGCGTCTATTGGTAAGAGTGTCCCATCCTTTTGCCACCTCGACGATTGGACTGTCTAATCCTTTTCCTTCTTCGCTAGGGTCGTTCTCTTCGTTCTCCAAGGTGGCTACATTGCACATCTCTTCTCCTCCAACCCCGCGGTCGTCAATTCCGCCTGTGCTGTCGGCAGTCACTTCATCCTCAACAACCTGTTCCACTTCGCGTTTGTGATGCTCTTCGTGCGTTCCATTTTCGGATGGGCTGAGTTGATGCTCATTCTTAATTTCTTCAATCTGAGCATGATGTACTTCCGCCACTCCAGATATGCTCGATTCATTCACGCGCCGGTAGTCTCAGGACCGCTCGCCTGGACCTTTGTCGCCATCTTCTGGAACGGTGCCATCATGGTTCCGAGCTCCCAGACCCACGTGGCCCGAATCTTCGGCAACATCTTCATCTGGGGCATCCTGCTATTCGGAATGTTCTTCATCGTGGTATACAGGGTAAGCAAGTCCTCCCTCCATAGAACTCCCATACTTTGTACTTATCTAGTTCACAGGACTATACCATGGGCTTCAACCTTACCGTGCTCTCGGCCGCCATTGGTGTCGCTCAGTTCTTCGACAAGATCGTCGCGCTACAGTGGATCTTTGCATTCTCCATAATGGCGGCACTATTCGTCGCAACAGTCGTAGTCGCCATCCCTGCCGCTGTAGACCGAGTACGAGAGGGTGACTCCGAGAGAGCACCTCTCCTAGCCGATAACCACGCAAGCCATGACAGCCAAGTAAGCGCGGGAACACCTGCCATCCCGGCAGCCCCTTAAAAAGGAGGAAACCCCATAACCGACACAAATTAGGGGACTTTTACCTCGATTCTGCGAGCTCCGGTCTCTAGCTTTTTCACGATTTGTGCGCTGAGGAAAGGACCTTTCTCTTGAGGACGACACAAGTTTTTCAACTGACTGAGAGGTAAACGGCGTTTTTTTTCATCATGTCAGGGACCACCGACATTAGGAGGGTTATGGAAAAGGGTCGAGGAGACATGTACTTGTTAACGAGTCGGAAATGCGACTTTGCTCTTGCTCTGCGCTGCGCTGCTCTGCTTAAGTGTGTAATAAGTCTTTTTTTTTTTTTTTTTTTTTGAGAGTTATCGGTACGAAGCAATGTGTTTAATTACGGTGTGAAGTGAATGAGATGAGATTGTCACACTTTGATCTCTCAATCTGTGTCTCCAATGTGTATGTGTGTGAGGGTCGACAATGCAAGAACATACATAGGTAGGCATGCCGTCAAGATGGGGTCGTATCGCTCACAGTGTTAATTAGGGTTTCATAGACTGTATGTCTTACCGGTAAACTTGTGGCCGCGCGGGGGTCGGTGCCGTCATAGCCGTATAGTACTATGTACATATAACTTCCTTCTACACGGTGCCGGGGTCTGGGTCTGGGTGGGTATCTATCTGAGGTGCACAAGTCCTGCTTACTAAGAAGTTCAGACTGGAGTGGGGCGGCATTGGGATGGGGGGACCAATAGGTACTGTCTGTATGTCCGTATCGCGAGACGGGATTCTATGATAACAAGAATCAATTGCGTGCCGTCGTAAGTCGTTGTCTTTCTAATATCGCCGCCATGCCACCGCACCTAAACCTGCCATTCCTCATAGGCAATGACATTTGCCATGTCTTAAGGGTCAAGCGAATTCTACAAGGGAGGTTAGGGCCCCGATTTGTCCGCCGGATCCTGACGACCGAGGAGATCCGACACGCCGCCAAGATCCTCCGATGCATTCTTGATCGGAAAACGCCCGATGCGCGATCCCGTCTGGGTGCGTTACCGGCGGCGGAATCGGACCCTGCTTCGGAAACCGGTACGGTCGGGTTTACCAAGGCAGTGGAGTTTATGGCTGGCAGGTGAGGAAGGAGAGAGTTCGACGCGCGCGTTTGCGTTGCTCTCACGGAGGGACTGATCACGCGCCTTTTTTTTTTCATTCCAGATTCGCTGCTAAAGAAGCCGCTATCAAGGCGCATTATCCCCGTCGTCTCACGTTCCAGAGTATCGATATCGTACGGATGCGCTCGTCGACCTTGCCCGACGCAATGAACCGGACACCTGTAGATCACGAGGAGGCGCAGACGATACGGCCGGAAGACGGTACCACATTAGAGGCCCGGGGAGGCGCGCTTATTGCTGTGGTCAAGGCGGATGGCACGTATCCCGAGTCGCAGGCTTCTGTTAGCATCAGTCATGAAGAGGAGTACGCGACAGCCGTTTGCCTGGCGATGAATCAATCACTTTCCGTTAATGGAAGCCAAGTCCCCAGGGCTACTTAATATAAGACCAAGATGTAAGTTCACGAGTGTTGCAATTATATCGAGAGTGGCCTACCTCTTGACTGCTGTAAGCTGGAAGGGGGAGCCGGAACCTAATTTGGCTGTGAAGGGCCTCCAAACCGATACGACGGCCCCTACTCATATTCCTGCTGCGTAGCTCCTCGTAGCCCCGGGCTTCCAAACTCCGCTGGGTTGTTTACGATGGCCGTTTATAGCGATAGTTGCGGTGATATATTGGATTCTCAAAAGGGTAGTAGGGTATGGACATCTTTTGTAAAGTTTCATTGGACGGCCGCACTGGCCTAAACTCCTTGCTGGAGGAAATGGAGAACGAGCCGCTTGTATCCCGATATGCTTTCGATCAACTCCGGGACACGAATATACTCATCTGGTCCATGTGCTACGAGGATCGACCCTGGCCCGTACAGCACTCTATTCTTGCAGTACTCCTCCTTGAGTCGAGGCACGTCAGTTCCAAAGGCCACGGGCGCGGCATCGAACCCGTCGATTTCCCAGTCCAAAAGAGCCTCGGGATACTCGAATACAAACTTCAGCTCTACGTCTGGGAATCTCGAGACCCGTTCCCTGAGCGTGGCCTTGATTCCGGGCAGGTCTGAAACCATGCGTACCTCACAAAGCGCTTTGGCCGAAGGTGCGACGATATTGTGCTTCTCGCCACCCTCTAGAGTTCCGATATTGAACGTAGAGGGGCCGAGAAGATCGGATTGCGGCCAGCTTACTGCTGAGAGATCATTCAGAACGGCCAGAAGCGTAGACGTTGCACTCTTGCCGAGGTGGGGATATCCTGAGTGGCTGATTGATGGATTATGATCAATACACGGCGCGTTTCCAGGAACCATATTGATGCCTCCTTTTGAAAAGAGAGACGGACTTACCAAGCCTTGCCTTTGACGGTGATTTCGAAGGCCACTTGTCCCTTGTGGCCTTTCGCAAGCTTGCTTTCCGTGGGTTCGGCGAATATGCCGGATTCCCAGGTCAATCCCATATCGTTTGCGGCAATCATGCCGTGGCCGCCGTTCTCCTCGCCCACCACGAATAGTAATCCGACATCCCCTTCTACCCGGACCTTGCCTTCTCTTCTCAGCTCCTCCGCGGCCATGATCTGAGCGGCGAGCGGACCCAGATCATCGGAAGATCCTCTCCCACGGATGATGTCTCCGTCGACGGTTAGCGGTATATGCGGCGGGACCGTGTCCATGTGGGCTGTGAGCAGCACGCGTGTCTCGCGTATAGAGCCGAGGTAAGCGTAGACATTGTGACGAGAGGATCCCGGGGCGATGGGGATGCGCTCGACGGTGTAGCCGAGGCTTTGGAGATGTTGTTCTAGGAAGATACCAATACTATGCTCGAGCTCGCTGGTGCTCACAATGGACATGAGCGACTTTAAAAGGTGGACTACTGGGTGATCCATTGCTGTAGTCGACGCCATGGTCTCTGGGGATTGAATTATCGATTTGCAGACGGAAACCTGGGATAGGTCAATCAAGGAACCGTCCGTTTATCTACTAGGTATCTCGAGCATCCCGAACGTCGGCGGTGGGGAGTCACCTGTTTCCACTCGCAACTCCGAACCCTCTCTTGATCGCCGGCCGTTATTAGTCAGCTTATAATTAGTCCATAGCGTTCCGGAAAGACCCTCGACGAAATCATACACTACATGCCGTCCCCGGCGCAAAGCTCTTGATGCTCCGAAAAAAGGCCTCTTTTCACACGAGACGCTGCCGGACGCAGTATACTAATTTTTTATGACTCACTACTTTTTCCTGCTCATGTTACGGCCCGGGTCTTGGCTCGCATTGATACTAAATTTAACCACTGATTCCGTGCTGACTGGTACATTTCATTTCATCCGATCTCCGGAGTTCGGCCGGGTAAATCTCGCGCGGGATTGGAGTCGGCGGTTATACTTCTATACGTAGCTACTAGATACCTAGTGATTGCTTACCGGGGGCTTTCGCGCGGATGGGTAGGTATCCGGACGTAAGGCCGACGAATATTTATTAGGCTTGGAAGTTGTAAATTTTGCTTACATTCTGACTTCCGGCTGGCTTGAGTTGTGGTGGAAGAGGTGGAGCGATGCTATGCTACTGAGTACCTAGCTATGGGGTATAGATTAGGTAGGTCACCTTGATGAAGATGAATGAACGTTATTCACATGCTTCGTCGCCTCAGATCAACATGGTCATAACTACGCCTGTTTGGATCTACCTGATGAAATGCCCTTCTGTATGCGTGAATATTTTCTTCTTGCAAAGACAGCGAGAGCGAAATCTCACCTGGACGATTGATTCAAATCACCCAGAGATTTTGTATCAATCAATCAATCAATCAATCAATCAATCAATCAACTGAATTCCCCACGAATATCTCCGATGGAGGAACACATGCCCTCATATGAGGACTCAACCCACAATCTCACCAATCGTCATCGGCCGGTTGGCCTAATGGTAAGGCGTTGCTTTCCGGTTTCTACGGAACTTGGCAAAGATTGCGGGTTCGAGTCCCGTGCTGGTCGGAAAAAATTGGGTTGCGATGACGAATCGTGTTCTCTTTTTTTTTTCTTATTTTTTTCTGTGGCTCTTTTGCTCTTTTCCCTTAGAAAGCTGGTTTGCATAACTAAAATACGCGAAAAATACGGATCCGTGAATGCTTGCGGACCCGATGGCCAATCAGTGTGTGAGGAAGGGAAAAGCTGCACACGGTGATTCCTCTTTTAAAAATTTCATGGTAGGTAGATAGTGTACAGTAGGTATCTAGGTAAGGGCGCTGAGCAGTGAGCAGTTGAGCAACCCCGCTTCTCGGTCACCTTAGGTACCCAGCGGCTTAAAATAGCCACTGGAATGGGGATTGGTCCGAGAAACACAGTCTCGGTAGTTCCAATCACACCGTAGAAACAACAACTCAAGCCTCCGTGGAACATGATATGTATCTGCAACTTCCTTCTCAAAGGTCACTTGTTGATAGGCAACTCCCCAGCCAATCGTTTGCGTGTCCTCAATTCAGCTACCACTACCCATCTAACCTATCTAGCTTGAACCACAACTTTGGTGGAATGATAAGGGCGATCCCACAACCATCATCCATAACATTCACATTCTGCACAACTTTTCATTTATTTTCAAGGGGAAAATGCACCTCGATGCCCGAGGCCTGCCGCCTATTTAAAGCTGCATCGCTCTGATAACGTGTCTGTCGAATTCCCCAGCGGCCCGGCCAGCCACCCCAGTCACCCCAGTCACCCCGCTCTCCCTCCTCCCCCGCGATAAGTCCTGAGAGATGTCGTATATTAGGTAGGTATCGTAGCGAGAAGCAGAGACTCGCAGCCCTACCCGAATCATGTGGTTTGTTTATTGTCTGAACCCAGGATGGCAACTGGTCGACCCTCATCATCACGGGAGCATATGGTAGGTCGGTCGACCACCTGAATGTGAGAAGTGGTGAAGCTAAAGATAGCGAGTGCGCAGTCGTGCCACGTTCGCCGCCACTGCTTTCGGCTGCCCGGCTTTCTCTTCACCCGGACATGTGAATTCCCAGGGTGGGCGAATGGTGATGACGGGGTGAATGGGGTGAATGGGGTGATTGGGGTGACATGTCAAATGAACGACGATGTCCTTTCCCGTTGGACTTACGTGCTTAAGTATACGGTAGTAAGTACATTGCATGAGAGGGGGCAAGTGAGTCCTCACTACCCTATCTTGGAGCCCATCGGGCAAAAGTGCACGCCATGCCTGGGTATTTAACGCCCTCTCGATACCAACGTTAGGCATTCCGTACAGCAGCGCCAATGCAGCTATGATTCGCGTTAGCTATAAGCAGGCTGTGTCCGGCATTTAACTTGACTTGATGGAGAGCCAAGGGCGACAGAAGTTCCCGCTTTCTTCCGCGAGCTTGTCTGTTTCGTCTCTCTGTCTGTCTATCCTTGGTTGACTAACTAGCCATCTTGGCAACGGCTCGAAACCCATTCACCGATGATGACTATCCATGGATTGTGATGGATAACTAACAGGAGGTTGGGTGTGTGCCTACAACAAATCGCCACAATAATACCTACACACTTACACTCCACACTAGATACAACGGACGGTTTTTTGAATTTCTAAACGAGTTACGGATTACAGATTATCAAAAGAGCAATTACACTCCAACCATCGACTTGCCCTAAACTCTGCGACGAGACGAACCGTTGCCCCCGGCGCCGGAACCCCTCTTTACTTCCCCTCAGTCACGGCAACCGCGCCTGGGGCATTTGCTGCCAATATAGAGCTGCAGACGCGCGAGCGCTCTTTCGCTCACAAGAAGGTGGAATTTGAGTGGACATTTTGGTGTATGTGTATTGACGTGGTGAACGATGGCTGGGGAGACGCACAGGGGAAGAGGGGCACTGGCAGCTGCTTCTGCGCCGTCTCCACCGAACGATGATTTGGAGCGGTGAAGGGGCCGGCCTGTTAATGGTCACCCCTGTAGACCGTGGCCGTGGGCGCGCCGAGCCAACCGAATCCGTCCTCGCTCCGATCCACAGTTGGGCAAGCAAAAGCGGTGGCCGCGCTTTTCATGCCTTCATTATGGGCCCTTCATTATAGTCTTGCCCGTCTTACATATTACCACATGAAACCCGTTGCCCTGTTGCCCGTCGTGTGTTTCGATCATCTACTTTACCTAGTAGGTATAAGATGAAGAGCTCGCTGCTAGACCCCCCTGTCACTTCGCTTCTTCCCTCCTGCTCTTCGTTTTCCCTTCCCCAAGCATCGCGCCATGCCTTCCATGGCTGGTACACCCGATCTTGGTCTCTGGGAGCCCATCGCGGCCCCCGTAGCCGCTTTCGTGGATGAGTGGTTCGCTCTTCAGTATCTGCTGCCGTTCATCTCGTTCGTCTGTGTCGGACTTGAGGGGTGGTGTTTCTTCGACCTCACGCGTAAGACGCTGGGCGCTCGATCCGCGCGGGCTATGGCCGACGCGCGTGATGCGTTCATGGATTACGACGTGGTCAAGGACTTCCCCCGGGGTGGTTTTGAGCCTTGTAAGTCACCCATCACTCATCACTTGAGGCGAAACGTGCCACTAACACTTTTTCCGACATAGCGAATAACCAGCTGTGTGTTCACGGGCTTTCGGGTGTCAAGTTGCACGCGAATCATTTCGCCGTTCCCTCATACCCGTAAGTACAAAGTGTACACATGGATACCTGTCAACTAAGCCCGTTCATGATGCTGACCTTGGGGAAAATAGTATCATGGTCGGACAAGGCATTAAGAGCCAACCGATGCCCTGCGGATGCAGTGTTCCTCCCAAAGTGAGCCCACGGATGCGAAGAAAGCGTCGGCAAGCATCGTCCCACAATGCTCTATGAGCAAAAACGGCGACATGTGGGGGATAGCACACCCTTTTCACCCATTCAACCCCGCCATCAACAACAACAAGAACAACAAGTTACTGCTCCAGCTTCTTCGAGGCTTTTGCTCAAGAGGCTGAGAAAAAAAAAACAAGAGCGAACACTCACTAAAACCTTTTCCTTTGTCTCAAAACTTGGCATTAAAAATGCATATGATCATGAACGAACTCCGACAGGATATGATATTATGGCACGAAACTTCCGATGAAGCATGATATCATGGGTTGGAAAATTGGTATGAAAGTTTGAATTGTTTTGTTAGCGAGTCGGAGAGTCCTGGTGATTCGGAGGTTCAGCAACAGTAGGTAGCGTCTTTTGGGAAAAGAAGGGAATGAAAAAAGAGGGGGAAAGAATGAATGAAGGGAATTGGAATTATGAGGTAAAATGGAAAGGGAAAGGGAAATGGAAACGGCGATTGGAACGAAGCAAGCAAAGCGAAGAATGAACAAAAGAATGCTTTACACTTGATGGAAGTTTTGCAACCCCCTTTTTTGGGTTCGTTTCTTACCCTGATAGAGTTTGTGAATGATTGATTTTGACTTATCTAGCCGAGTAACTGAACTGAACCGGGCTTCTGCTTGATCTCACCTCTGTACAGTCTGTAGTGCTTGCTTCTGCTTCCTCCGGACCGGAGAACAGCGGCTTCATACCGTTGGAGACTCTACATACGCACCTTTTTTTTTTTTTTTTTTTTTTTTTTAATGGCAAGATAAGCGGCAGAAAAAAGTGCCATGCCGCTTAGTTAGATGCGAGGGCTTTGCTGCCCACTAATAGTTTATAGATAAGATACATACATGGCAACTAGGTAAGGTAGGTAAGGTAGGTAAGGTAGGTAAGGTAGGTAAGGTAGGTAAGGTAGGTAAGGTAGGTAAGGTAGGTAGGTAGGTAGGTATTCACGCTGAGGGATCATCCGGTTTCCATCATGACCTAGGTATGTAGGTATCTAGATAGGTGGATTTTCCCCTCAATATAAATCATGATTATCACGATAGCATCATGGCATCACAACGTCATCGCCCTCACGACATGGGGAGAGGGGGGGGGGGGGGTTGTAGTATTTTCGACCCGGCATAAGGGACGTATTCTGGATAGCCATGTATAAATCGCCAAGGCATAGAATTAATTTTCATGTTTTTTTTTTTTCAATTCGTTCAGAATAGTTTTTTATCATCTGCATTTTTTGTTTATTGTTTTTTTTTGATCTTCCTCTTCTCTCTTTTATCTCGTATCAGCCTAGTCTTTTGTTGAAAACCCCGCGAGTTTAGTTTTTGGGAGAGGGGGAACCCGCAAGTTAGAAGTTTCTCCGTTGGAAAAATGATGAACCCCATGGCCATGCTAGTAGGTAACGAAAAAGTGTTATTGGTAATACAGAGATTTGAACCACTTAAACATGCCTTTTTTTTTTCTGACTCATTGACTACCTGTCACACGCTAAGGATACAGAAGAGGGAGGGAGGAGGAAAGGAAGAGGAGAAGGGGGTTACAAGACTTTGATGTTTGAAATGTCTTATGATGAAGGGGTAGTAGCAGCGGCGGGAGGAGGAGGAGCGAATAGAGTCACTTCCGGCCATGTCTCATGGGCAGCCTTTTGAAACGCCTCTATCTCGGTGCTTCGCCATTGGTACAGCAGTCCCAATGCCTCGGCAGCAGGCTCCCAATCGGCGCTGCCCAAGCTGAGGATATCGAATAGAGCCTTCTCACATGCCTTCTGATCCTCGCCTAACAGCTTCTGGACTTTGACTCCCGAGACCGCGTGGGCTGGGCTTGTCTTGTTTGACTCTAGGTACGCGCTATTGTACGCCTTAAGGTCCGTCGAGGCGTCGATAGCCGTGAACTCCGTTTTCAGGACTTCGGCAACCTTGACAGGTAGAGACGTGGCCTTTGAGCTAATCGCTTGGTAAAGGCGCACGGTTTGCTCATGGATAACTGGGTTGGTAGGATCAATGGCCATCGCGGCGTTCAAGCAGCGCAGAGCAAGGAGGTATTTTTCTGTTCAAATTAGTACATAGAGTCATGGGAAGGAAGGGAGGGAACTATAATTACCTCTTCGGATATACACCTCGAAGCCAGCGATTTGGCCATCGACGTTCTTAGGGCTGAACTGGAGAATGGGCGACAAGAATTTC